TAACGACGACATTTTCTTTGTGTTCTAAACAAAGCAGCCGACTACCCAGGTTCGATCCTCGGTTGGAGTATATATTTAATTTTACTTTATTTTATTTTCGTTTGTTTTATTAACCGACTTCCAAAAAAGGAGGAGGTTATCAGTTCGTCGGAATATTTTTTTTTTTTTTTTTATGTATGTTACCGCATAACTTTGGACCACGTCAACCGATTTCGATAATTTTTGCATCGGAAAGGTAGTGTCTCAGAGGTGGTCCCATACTAATCTGGTTGAGATCCGATCAGTGGATCATGAGATATATATATATATATACATTTTTTTTATATGGGAGATGAAGTCGGTTTTTTTTTTTGCTAAAAATTACTTGTTTTACTTCACATTTTTTAGTTTATTATTAGTTAATTTAAATCTTTACAGTTAAATTTTACTAAAACGGACAAAAACAACTTTATAAAAATATAGAAGTTATTATTGAATGAATAAAAAAAAATTAGTGAATATTCTACTGGTCGTGGGACCCGAACCTATGACCTCGCGCAATTTTGATCAGATCAATTGCGTTATTAATCCGAATCAACGTTGCCGTCTATCTATGCTTTAACATACCGCTCGCCGCGGCATGGAGAGCTTCAGTGGTCGATTAAAACCGGTAAGGCAGCACACACTACGCTAGAGAGAAAAGTCAGTGTCCACCTTTCTTCTACGATTGAGAGTCGATTGCTGTTCCATGATCAAAAGATAAAATCCTCGGAAATTTAGTTTCGTAGACTGGTCAAGCTTATCGAAAAGTATCTCAGCTGCAAGTACCATTGTCGTGTGGTGTCTGGAGTCGATAATTCGCTGATAGAGTTTATAGCCAAATGATCATGGACAAAATGGTGGCGGCGAAAATAGTTGGGATCCAGGTTCAAAGGCTCGTGACGAGAGACTCACTTCAAGGTGGCGTGCCCTCGTCGCTTCTTTGGAACTCAACTGTGAACTCGCTTTTGCCGTTGTCACCTATGCTCATCATGCCGCTATTGCATATTGAGGAGGATTTCCTCAGACATTGTGCGGCTTGATGCAGAGGATGCTGGAAGGTATAAAAGGCCGGCTATATACTGGAACTAAACATCTTTCTTCTAAGTCGCACGAACAAATCTCAGCGTTAAGTGAAGGCTTCTAAGGCTTTGTGCTCGTGCAAAAGAGCCATAGGCAACAAATAGTTTTCGAATCCAGTCATTTCCTGCTTGATTTATTAATCGATTGCTAGGCCAGTTCTACTATAAAAATATCTTAATTTGGATCTTCTGCAACTGGATCTAGTGGGACAACAAGGGCTACTGAGAAACTCTTTTATTCTGTATAAATCTGGATTTCTTCTCAAAACTTTTGTTCCGGATTGAAATTTCTCTATGTCGATCATAATCAGGTATTTAAATATCCACAGACAGTTTGAAGCTCGGTGGTAAAGTGTTAAAGGGCTTCGACGCGAAACTCTACCCTGAACTTCTCATTTTATTTACTGGACCGCTATAATTTATTCTAGGCTGAGGTTTCAGCTATTATAGAAGCTATAAATAAACACGGCGCCGATACAGTTAGCGATATTTTCATCTTAGTGACTGCCAAGCTTAATTTAGAGCCATGGGCTCCGTCACGATTAACTCGAAAATTTTGCTGAGCTGTATCCGATCTATGCTGGAGATGGCTAAACATAACATTCTTTACCTTTTTTCCTTCGCGGTTACAGGAATATGTATAGCGAACGAACTTGCTAGAGGCACGGGATTCTCCTGGAAATAATAGTACTTGTATGCCTTTTACCTGTCCGATCTCTAAGCGCCCTTGGCCTAGGTGGGATCGAAAAAGGTCTCGAAGCTTATGTTCTCTAAAAAGGCAGGATTTAGCTAATACCATTGTTGTTCTAACTGGTAATTGCCTTATAATAAACATGCAGAACGGCTAGTATTACCATTTCCAGCTGCAGAAGCTGAAAAATCTATGAAGAGGAAGAGACAGATCTTCATCTACCCTGTAGGACTTAGTGCGCCACCATCCATTACTTTTTGGTTTTCTTTATTATTTTAAATTACTTTTATTTTTTGCATTCTCTTTACTTTACTTTAATTTCATGTAATTTTTATTTTATTTTACCTTTCCGCCTATATTTCTTCAATTTACTTATATGCCGCGTTTTCGTTTTTTTACGCCGCATTTATTCTTACTTCTTTCCAATTTTGACGTCATTCACCACAACACGGCACCTTTCTCGCTAAATTTTGCGGTTAGCGCATGCGTCATTCAAACCCTTTTGCCATCATTACTTCTTTGATTCTTCAGCATTCTTCAGCGAAAACCTTTAACCTTGACAAGCAGAAATATCAGCAATTCCACGTCCAGAACCAAAAATTTTAATGATCTGCCAACCAAGTTGCAANTCCACCACTGCTGTCCAGGCTCACAAGAAGCACTAAAGTGTCGAATTTATGCGGCTGCTGGCTGATGTTCTTTAAACTGATTATTTTTTTTCGTGCGTTTTATTTTCTTATTTTGCGGCGTTTTGAGATATGCATATGTGCATATGTTTGTATTTTCTGTCAGTTAAAGCAGAATTCTTGCATGCCGTCCTTGTGGTTTAATATATTTTTTGTGTATGTGTGTGCTTTTCTTGTTATTTTGTCCCATGCTTTTCATACCATCCTTCTCCAAATATTTGCTGTTTATACATTTTTTCAAGCTTTTGCCGAATTTAAAGGGTTTCCATTGAAAAAATTTGCACCTGCGCTTTTTGCATTGTTGCACCAGAGCTGCCGGATTCGAATTTTGTGACAGCTCAAATGTCCGAATAATTTTTGTTTTTTTTTACCTTTTTTTTGTCATTTCACTTAGCATTTTTTACTTGCAAATATTTTATGTAATATATTCTTTTTTTTGCGTCTGCGCCAGTATTTGGAGTTTGAGTAGCAACAGCTGTCGGTTTGGGGCTGCGTTTTGGAATTTTCAAACACACAAAAAAATATTTTGCAAAACATAAAACAAATAAAAAATAACTAAACTTTCGCAATGCAAAAACTGTGTCTGGGACTTGTGCCTGTTTGCTACTACAAAAAATTTTAAAACTCTAAAAAACGGATTTTTCAGCAAATTAAGTTGGAAAATAAAAATTTGAATATTTGCTTGCAAACCCAGTAAACAAAATGCATAGGAATTTCTCTTATACAAAAATAAAAATTATAATATTTTCCACAGTTGCGGCGTAGTAATATTTACTTTTTATTTAGCAATGAAAAAAAAACAACGAAGTCTTAAAGCATAAACAGACGGCAGCGTTGATCCGGATCAACTCGGAAATTAACTGCAGTTGATCCAGATTAAATCCGAGTTAATCCGGATCAGCGCTGCCATCTGTTTAAGCTTTTAGCGTTAGAATTTATAGCTGTTATTTCGGAGATCACCACATCTCCTCATCAGACTTCTTTTTTTCTAGATTTCAGCAGGGATCATTAAGATTTAAGATGAATGGCAACAACGCAAGAATTTTCAAAAATCGTCCCCAAATTCTTATCTCTTACTCTTCAAACACTGTCCTCGTAATCCGCAAAAGATTTCCATATTACTAGTTGATGCGCAGTAAAAGTTGACGAGTCTGTTTTAAGGTATTGACTGTCTCAACTCTATAATTCGTCATTTTGTTTGGGACACCATTTTGGATAAGGGATTAGGTTAGGTTAGGTAGAACTGGCTGGCAATTTTTTTTGTCTATAATGTTACCAGATAAAATGACCATTCATGATGAACAGGTGGGCACCATATCAAAAATCCATGAAATCTTTTCAGCGAATTTTATGATTTTGTGGAACCGTTCTTTTGTTGCTTGCGCGAGGTTGGTGAGGAACGTCTCCCCAAAACAGTTTGGATGCAACATTTGCCAGCGCTGGACAATCGAACACTATGTGCTCCACTTATCACTACTCATCAAACCCATTTTAAGGGCGATCAGTTATGAGACCAACCAAAAGTCTACGCTTCTCGGTAGTTTAAGTATAAGTTGATACTAAGGGGTTTGTGGAAAAATATGTAGTCCGCCATTTTGTGGCGGCGACCATCTACGATTTTCTATAATACTGTATATACACAACTTTATTGTCGGCATACCAAATTTCAGGCCAATGGGTCAACAGACCCAGAACAGCCAAGATTTGACCCAATCAAGTGTCAGAACTACCTACACGACTGAGAAGGTGAAAATGTTGCAACAAAAATATGCGGAATTAAATTTTACTTTAGACCCTTGACGAAATAATCAGTGATAAATGTAATTTTTAAAGAGATTTTCTAAATAATTTAGAACAACTTTTGATTAAATTAGGAAAATTTTCATACACCGTAAAAAAATGTGGCGTTTAGGTGCAAATCGGTAGGTGGCCCAATATGCTAGAGCTCTGCCTCTTTCATAAATCGGTAATTTTGATCGCCAAAAATCTCCGGAAGAATAGCAGGCGCTCCTAACAACATGTAACATATAGTCACAAGCCCCTCATACCGGCAGATTTTGCGTATTTAGCTGATACACATTGCTTCTGCTACTTTCCTATGTTGTATACTTTTACGCCCCACTGCTTTTCACTTAGAGACATTTGCCAGAATTCCACTGCTGCTCTGCCGAATGTCTTTAAACTACTTAGCCTGGTTTCGTTTCCATCCATCCAAAAACCCACATGACATGTACCCACCACAGGGTGATCCTGTGTAATTAGTTCAATAGGGTATTGCATTTTTGCACATATCCATATGCTGTTTTGAATAGGTCTAGAACTTTATATGCTGCCTGACTGCCTCATTAGTCCTTCTACAAAGACATTTACATTTTGTCGAACCTAGGTCTAAAGACCTAAGCCTCAGTATTGCCATCATCATTATACCAAATAAGCTCGCGTGGGGGGTATATATAATATCAAATAACCTACTAATAGATTGTGTAATTCTGAAACAAATATGCAAGTAAATTTCCAACTCACCTGTATTGAGCCAGCAACCGATGCCGAGCTAAAACTCGCATTGCTGCCATCCGATGAGGCGATGAATTGTTTACGCAGCAAAAGGCTGGTCGATGAAGTGCTGCTATGGCTGACGCTGCTGCTGGTGCTATTGATGTTAGTGTTGGTATTGGAGTGGGTAGCAGACAGTGCGGTGAGGTCGGCAATTTTCGCAGAGTTAGCGCCAATACTGTTGGCTGGTGAAGTTTTGTCACTACCTTCGCCAATGCCGCCGCCGCTCCCACTAATGTTGTTGTTGTTGCTGTTACTATTATTGTTGTTTACACATGTATTTACATTTACAATTGGTGATGTTGCTATTGGTGTTGTTGGTGCCAATGGTGTGGCATTAATAGCATTTTTCAGCGAAGCGCCAGCGCCAGCACCAGCACCAACACCAACACCAGCACTGTTGCTGCTATTATTATTTATATTACACGCTTTATTCTCATTATTACTGTTGCTGTTTTTGTTGCTGATGTTGTTATTATTTTGCATATTTGCATTATTTTTGCTATGTGGCATTTCCATGCTGCTGTTGGTGTTATCGTTGCTGTTGCTATTATTGTTGTTGTTATTGCTTGAATTACTTGAATTATTTAAGAGATTATTGCTTGTATTGCATACACTATTTACACTTGCACTCATATTGTGGCTACTATTGCTGTTGTTGTTGTTGTTGTTGCTATTATTGCTAATACTATTATTATCGTTTAGGTTATTGCTTTGTGGGCTAAAATTATTCAAATTGTGATTATTATTAATTGAGCTTTGCTCTTGTTGTTGTTGTTGCTGCTGCTGCTGCTCTTGCTGAACGTCGTTCATTTCGTCGTTCTCGCTATGCTGCTGTGCTTGTTCTTGTTCTTGAATTGCTTGCAGATTAGCTTTGATTGTCTGCTTTATGTTGCTGTTGTTGCTTCTTCTTGGACTGACCACTAACGCCGCCGGCGGTTGCACAGAAACTGCATTGCTTTTGTGTTGTTTTTGTTGTTGTTGTTGTTGTGCGCTTACTGTCGAAACGGCTAAGGTTTTAGCCTTAATTGTTGGCGGCGCATGCGTTTCTGTTGCTACCGCCGGTGTTGCTGCTGCTGCGGAAGTGCATGTGGGCTCTACGCTATGTCGACTTCTCATGATTCTAAGCGTTAACTATACACACCCACTAACAGACGAAAGTATATGCTATGGCATAGCTCTTGGAGCGGCATATTTGAAGACTTTTTTATTTTATTTTTCTAAATTTTTCACTTGCTTGTTTTTCTTTTTTTTTTTTGATTTTTTACTAAAATTGTATTTTTTGTCTCACTTTTTCACTTCCTTCTAGTAACGAGTAATTTGTTATTTATTTTTGTAATTTAAGGAAGCTGTAATAACAAACAAATTGTTTTTGCGTGTTAATCTCACACTTTAAATATTTCCCACTTTGCTGTGCCAAGCGCTAAAATATTTTGTCGCGTGTTGCTGCGATATTGAATGCCGGAAAGGTGTGAACACGCACATACTAAAATACAAAATGTGGATGTATGTATGTATAGACTAAATTTTAAATTGGTTTGTTTAAAGTTTTTTTTTATATTCAACAATTTTTATTCAGTTTTTTTTTTTTATTTTAATAAGTTTATAGTTACATAAATATGTACTTAGTTTGTATTACAGGGTGGCTCTAATTAATAAAATTTGATTTTTTTCCGTTTCATTAAAAAGAACTCTTTATGCATAAATAGAGCGGTATATACACGATACGATAGATTACTAATGCCCGGTTGCACCAGTCAATTTTAAATTTATCAGCCTGTTAAAAGTTTTTTTTCTAACGATAACTACGAAAATTAGGTAACGAAAGACTTAAGACACGAACTTTTGGTGCACAGAATATTAAAAATTGTTCCATGAATTGACAGTGCACCCTAATGCTAAACGATCTGAAAGTCGAAATGTTCCAGTTTTCCTCTGGCTTAGAATCAACAATCGAGATTCTCACTGAAACGATTTTTCTTCCCAACGCGCAGACGCCCCTCTCTTTCTTAACGCTAAGTTCTCAAAACTTTTGTTCTCATTTTGTTCTCTAGCAGATCGTTCCCCAGCCTTTTTTGCTTATTTGATCCTCCTTGCAAACGTTCTCGGTACTTGCATTCTCATTTTGTTTTTATTGGAAACCTTCCTGAAAGATTCTTTCTAATTCTGTTCTTCTTGACAACCTTTCCGAGAGTTTTGTTCGCATTTGTTCTTTACGGAAACGTTCCCGTATCTTTTGTTCTCATTTTGTTCCCGTTCAAACTGCTCTCAATACTTTTTTCCCCATTTTGATCTTCTGTGGGCGCGTTCTTGACATTGTATTTTGTTCTCGTGAAGAACTAATCCAAAACTTGAACGCGTTCTAGGTACCTGATACTTAAACTACTGTCAAAAAGTAGAGAATTTTTCACAAAAATTGCAAAAGAAAATTATTCGATATCTTTTTATAAAAACTTGGTTATCTAATAGAAACAAGAGATAGTAGGCTCGAAGGTGCGATTGTCATCGGCTCGGTTCAGGAGAGGGCTAAGTGGAATGATCACTACTAGCTTCCGAGGATTTTCGAAGGCTTCACCTAAGTAAAAATTCCCTCTGTTAGGCCTAAACAATGGACTTTGCCCATTCAGTCCGTTACATGGATCCGTTGTGGATCAGTTTAAGGGAAACCTCTCCTACGATGTCGATTCATAAAAGATAAATGTGTCAAGACGAAAAACACCCCTTGGTATATGCATAGAATAGAAGCAAGAGAACTCCAAGGGATCTCGGCTATGTTCCTTACCGGGGTCAGGAGACGCACCTCGTGGCGAAAGTGTAAGATGATATCTACAAAATAATTGTTTGTGCTGAGGAAGGGTCGGCGTGCCTATTTAAGGCTGCAGTGTATCTGGTGGAAGCGGTCTAGGAAGGCCACAAACTCGAACTCGTGCACAAAAAGGATTTACCACTGCATACGGGGGCCTATGTCTTCTCATCTGTGACTGGTATGATATCAACCATTGAAAAAGGTTAGATATCTTTATGGCTGAATACCACTGATAATGATCTGTATAAACGCAAACTATTCTCAAATAGGGAAAGCATAGATTATAAGTGTTTTTTATGAATATATATATGTACATATGTACATTAGGGCGGGACGAATTTTAGGGGACCAAAAAACGCAAAAATCGCATATGCGAAAAATCCTCTACGGATCATTCTGAGCAATTTTGCTTAAGAAACTATGCGTCTAAAATCAATTTCGGGCCAGCGAATTTTAAGAGGAAGTTTCATAATCAGGTAATACAAAATTTTGTGAGAAAAAGATATTTAAATATTTAAAGATATTTAAATATCTAATACCCAAATTCATAAAAAATAAAGAACACTTTAACTGCTTTATAAATCGAAATTTTGTATGAAAATGTCATTTTATAGAGCTCTTTAAACCTATTTTATTTTTTATGAATAAGGCCATAAGTTTTTAAGTCTTGCTTGCTTTTCAATCGCGATATTTCTTTCGACTTTCGTCAGTCACAGCCCTTAAAAGTTTCTTAAACAAATTTGCTCGGAGTGAATCGTAGAGTATTTTCCTCATATGCGATTATATGGAAAAAAATCGATCCGCCCTAATGTTCATATGTATTACTTCCCTATTTTGGTTCTTTAAGTATAGAGCGGAAAGAGGTATACCAGCTGTATTTTCAATTTCTGTATATTGTTGGACATTTATGTATTTCACTCTCGCCAAAATTTAATTTCAAACGCACCTACAGCGACTTGCTTGCTACCACAAATACAAATAAATAAGTAATGCAGCTTTACGTTATATAAAAATATTCACTGGCGTATGACAAAATCAACAATCACGAAAAAGTTACTCGAAAAAAATGCATTAAAAACCTGGTCAATAATAGTAAACTGACAAAACTAAAAAAGTCGAAAGCACGAATTAAATTAAGAAAAAACATGCAAGAAATTAGTTACCGTTACCGCCATCAATATTACAATACGATTATGAGGCATTCGTTTTGGTACAATGCAGCAATCAAACAAAACAAAAAAACATTATGGCAAGTTAAATTGTTTTATTTACATTTATTTTGGCAATTTTTTTATTTACATGCATAAATAAAGTTTTTTGAAATCAATTTATTTATTTTATTCATTAGTTTTTATTTCGCTGTTTTGCTTTTTTATTCAATTAAATTATTTGTTGTGATTTGCGGCGTACAATTGCGCCAACATTTTTTGGCTTTTCTTAAAATACTTTATTATTATTTGCGCTTTTTTTACCTCTAAGCCGGCATTTAATTGAATTTAATATCATTAAATGTACATAGGGAATGCTGCTTGTTTTGTGTTTGATATTTTTTCGCTCATTTATTCGAAACGGTGAATTTAATGTTTTGTTAAATTACACTTTCGCTTCTTTTATTACTTATCATATTTATATTTAATGTAATTACCGTACTTAATATTTTTTGTTTCACCTCTAATTTTGGCTTTACTAATTGCCTTCGAGTGCCAAGCATGCATTTCAAAACATAACTACACATTCATGCACATATGTATGTTTGTACTCGTACACATGTTTGTATGTATGTAGGTACATAAATTTAGTAAATATTGCATGCATCATTGAAATTTTCATTTAAATTTGTTGCTCATCCGCCGCAGCACAAATGTGGTACGAAATGAAAGTTGGCGATAATAATTCTACATATACTCGTACATACATACATACATACACATGTTATATCTGTATTAGGGTGGCCCTTTAAATATTGACATCATGGGCACCCTTTGCCTTTGTTTTACGTACAAATAAAGACATCCACGAAAATTTCAAAATTTAATTTTTTTAAATCGCTTAAATATGACAAAAGTTTTACTTTGACCAGCTATAACTCGACGAGTTTATTTCAAATTTATCAGATTTTAATTAAAAATTTATTTTTCGTATTTTCGCGACTTTTTCAATTTAATTTTTTTCAAACGCTGGTAGCGACCCTAACATTTTATTTTTTAATTTCGAAATATTTATTGTTTGATAATTTAAAATTTATATGTTGATGTTTGAAGGACCACCCTGGTTTGTATGTATATATGCATATGAAATATCCTTTTTATGAATGAAAATAAAGCGTATCTTTTATATTAATTAAGCATCATTAAGCAACTCGCGTGGAGTTATAACAAATCATATTCTCACAATTCCATAAATTTTTTCACAATAGAAATAAATTTATTGTTGCTGTTGTGAATCAACTAAAAATATTTTTGACCGTTAAAAAATTTATGAGCAGATAACCGGCTGCCAAGCAATGTATTAAAAGTACTTTATGGCCAACAAAAAGAAAATACCGTAAATCCAAACGAATGTAAATAAAATTTACAACTGTGATACGGTCGATCTTACATATGCAATGGTTCTCTGGTCTGATGGGCAGCCTTATGGAACCAGTGTAATCATGTAAAACTAGACAGATTTCAGAGGATTGCATGTTTTGGGACTACATGGTTTGGGGTAAGGAACTTAGTACCTCTGCTTAAATATATTCATCTTCTGTACACCGATGCAACAAGGAGTAGGTGCAGGCGATTTCTCTGAATCCCTGAGAATAAACAGATCAATCCAACTGTACGACTTTATGCGCATTTTTCAGGCAGAAGTATTTTCGATCGTCAAGTCTGTCGCATTAGTCAAAGTGTGTGCAAGGCAACCGACAGCCGTATAAACAAGTTGATGTAGCCCGCACCATCACCAAACAAATAGAACGTATTTCCAAGTTGAAGCAACCTAATGGGATCCACCAGGACTGTAACGAACGTTGACATTCGCGACTGTAGCACTGGAAGCAGAAAACAGTACATACGGTAATGGGTTTAGTGGGTTAAAGTCTCACACTGACTACTTAGACTTTATGTGTAAGCTTTCGGGCTTTCGATGTTTCCTGTTGGTAAGAAGAAGATGCAGTAGTGAAAGAGTAATGCTGAAAAATATAGGAGTGACTCCTATATTTGCGAAACGGCGGTATCTCATCAGCTAACTAGTCTCATCAAGAAAAGAGAGTGTGGCAGTGCTTTTGAATACATGTGGACGATTGGCGTTAGCTAAGCGAATGTTGGGCGAA